GGACCCAATGATCACTTACCCCACGGTGTGGGGAGTGGTCATTGGTTGATTATGCTGGCGCGCCCTCCCGAATGTATCGGGGCTTCGGGGGATAGGGCCTGACCAGCGCACACTCCGGTGAAAAAAAATATATATATAATAAATATTTCGTTCATATAGGTGAGTGCGAAACTAGGGATTCAAATAAAAGGATGATAATTGAAAATACTTCTGAATACTACTCTCTCACATGTATATACAATCGATCGCTTCAAAAACACTTCATCAACTTTCTTTGAGAGCTACTGATAATTCCTCTTCCATATTTTCTGTTTTCCTGTCACTGTCGTCATTTAAAACAATAATGAATTCATTTCCATCATTTATATGGAAGTGTCAATATCCATATATTCTTTTTCAACTAAAATTACTCTTTTAATACTTTTCTGTCAGTCTCCTACGGTAATATTACATAATTTTTGGGAAAGAAAGTTTTTGGCTTTCTACTACTCCATCTTGATACAAAAAAAGAAGGATGAGGGAGTCTTCTAAAGAAAGGAAAGAAGTAACTCTTACATACTTCTTCTTTAATCAGCTCTATCACCTTCTCATCAAATTTCATTTGCAGGCATGTTAGGCATACACATTTTCGAACCATCAGTTCGACCTTTCGTAACTGTATCGTGAGTATCATACCAAGTTTCGTCCAAATAGAAAATTTGCCGTTATTCTTGTCTATATTCAATTATTCGTTCTGAGTATTTGTTACGCAATACCACTATTCGTCTGCTTTTCATAACTACTTGACGTTTGTTCATTATCTTGAATCTAAATCCTAGTTTTGTCACAGCAGTTCACGTTATGGCCATATGATTTCAGTTTCAGGAATCTTGTTGCTTTTATAATAGTAGTGTAATGTTTTTTTCAATGATTTTATTGAATGATGACAGATAAAACAGTTCTAGAATATTTAGAAAACACATTTTCTTGCAGCCTTTCGAGTTTGGTTTTTTTTGATACCTTGGGAGCTGTCTGACTTGTCCATTTATTCCAAGTCTCCAGAAAACACTGCAGTCTCTTGGGCTTATTGCATTTATTCTCCCATCTTCTCAGGATGTACTAGTTTGTACAGGTTTCGTGTTGGATATTCGTCATATTCTTCTGGACGTAATTTCGTACGACCATATATTGCCTGCCTCCTGTGATTCAGTGCCTCACATTCGCATAAGATGTGAAGAGCTGTTTCTATCCCTTCGTTGCATAATCTGCAGCTGAGGTCTCCGTTGTACAGCCCTATTTTATTCAGGTGTCCTCTAAGCGGACAATGACCGGCAAGTAACCCTGTAATTATTCTGAGCTGATCCCTACTATATTGAAGTCGCTTTTCGGTTCTTTTCTCGGACGGTTCCCCAATGAAGGTTCTACTGTGTTTGTTGCCAGATACTTTTGTCCAGTACTCTGTGTGCTTCTTATTGGTCCATGTCCTAATCTGGTTTCGTACCAGTGATTTTGATACCCCCAGAGCTGGTTCAGGACCTATATATGAAGTTGATGATCTGCGTCTAGCGCATTCATCAGCTTTATCATTACCTGTGATTCCTGAATGCCCTGGCACCCAGTACAAAGTTAATTTGTTCCTGTTTGCAAGTTCATAGCATTCCCAGACCAGTTCTTGAGTTTGGTAAGCTCAGGCCAACGGTTTGTGCGACTACCTCATTGATTTATTTTGTCGTTTGATAATACCGTAGGGAAAATAAAACTGGATGAAGATATCGTTTTCATAAGTTATCATAACAAAGTTTTCATTTTCATTTGTTTTCGAGGTGTTCCTCATTAATGTTCACGAAGTGTTCTCAGTCTCTTGGAACTGATGATTTCAATAGTGAAGGTTATTCTGTTGAAGCTACTTTCACAGCAATCATCCCAGAGGTACTTGATATATTGCACGATAAATAAAAAATCAATTGTTGAAGCGATCTGTATCTGTAGAGTAGGAAGGGGGAGTGTAGACCCATAAAACTTTGGCCACATGTGACCCATTGTAAATCCTCCCTTGAAGTTGTCCTCCTAGGTCATCGCCCATTCTGTTTTTTCCAGGAAGGTGAACAGGTCATTAGGATACATCTCTTTTATATCGGCTGGTGAAGGCCAAGACTCGCCGAACACACACTCTCTTTGGCAACCTTGAGGTGTCTCACAGCGGCCTTCGTGAAGGTTTTGCGAAGGTGCAGCGACATTACTGTCGTTGCGCGGCTTCTCCAACCTTCTTGGGGTTCCCACCGTGGAGGAACTCAAGTAAGGGCGCTTTCCTGCAGGGGCAGCCGATTCCTTGCCTCTATTCACGGCGGAGCTCTTTGCAGCCGCCGCAGGAAGTGGCGGCCTTGCTGTTGGAGGTGGAATGGGAGAGGAGGTGGGTGCACTTATAGTTGCTGCCAATTGTGCCTCTATCGCTCTCTTTCTCCTTTTAGCATCGGCGCCGCAAATGCGCTTACGCTTTGGTCTTTGTATTATATCACGAGGTGATCTTCCATGTCAGTGAGTATCATACCAAGTTTCGTCCAAATAGAAAATTTGCCGTTGTTCTAGTCTATATTTACTCATTTGTTCTGAGTATCTGTTACGCAATACCACTATTCTTCTGCTTTCCATAACTGCTTGACGTTTGTTTATTATCTTGAATCTAAATCCTAGTTTCTTTATTCAATTCTGTAGAGTTTTGTCACAGCAGCTCACGTTATGGCCTTATGATTTCAGTTTTAGGAATCTCGTTGCTTTTATAACAGTAGTATAATGTTTTTTTCAATGATTTTATTGAATGATGACAGATAAAACAGCTCTAGAATATTTAAAAAACACATTCACTTGCAGCCTTTCGAGTTTGGTTTTTTTGGTACCTTGGGAGCTGTCTGACTTGTCCATTCAGTCCAAGTCTCTAAAAAACACTGCAGCCTCTTGGGCTTATTGCGTTTATTCTCCCATCTTCTCATGACACCCATTCCATCAGTCTCGTTACCTGTACTAGTTTGTACAGGTTTCGTGTTGGATATTCGTCATATTCTTCTGGATGTATTTTCGTACGTCCATATATTGCCTGCCTCCTGTGATTCAGTGCCTCACATTCGCGTAAGATGTGAAGAGCTGTTTCTATCCCTTCGTTGCATAATCTGCAGCTGAGGTCTCCGTTGTACAACCCCATTTCATTCAAGTGTGCTCTAAGTGGACCGGTTACTAACCCTGTATTTATTCTGAGTTGATTCCTATTATATTGAAGTAGTTCTTCGCTTCTTTTCTCGGATGGTTCCCTGTTGAAGGTTCTACTGTCTTTGTTGCCAGGTACTTTTGTCCAGTACTCTGTGTGCTTCTCATTGGTCCATGTCCTAATCTGGTTTCTTAACAATTATTTTGGTACCCCCAGAGCTGGTTCAGGACCTATATATGAAGTTGGTGATCCGCGTCTAGCGCATTCATCAGCTTTATCATTACCTGTGATTCCTGAATGCCCTGGCACCCAGTAAAAAGTTAATTTGTTCCTGTTTGCAAGTTCATGACCAGTTCTTGAGTTTGGTAAACTCAGGCCAACGGTTTGTGCGACTACCTCATTGATTTATTTTGTCGTTTGATAATAGCCTAGGGAAAACAAAACTGTATGAAGATATCGTTGTCATAAGTTATTATAACAAAGTTTTCATTTTTATTTTTTTTCGAAGTGTTCGTCATTAATGTTCACAAAGTGTTCTCAGTCTCTTGGAACTGATGATTTCAATAGTGAAGGATATTCTGTTGAAGCTACTTTCACAGCAATCATCCCCGAGGTACTTGATATATTGCACGATAATTAAAAAATCAATTGTTGAAGGGATCTGTATCTGTAGAGTAGGGAAAGTGAGTATAGATCCACAGCACTTTGGCCACATGTGACCCATTGTACATCCTCCCGAGGAGTTGTCCTCCTCTTAGCAGCCACCGCAGGAAGTGGCCTTGCTGTTGGAGGTGAAGTGTGGGAGGAGGCGGGTGCACTTATAGTTGCTGC